TTTTTTTTTTTTTTTTTTTTTTCCTGTCTGGTGGTTTTTACTTGGATGCTGTTAGATGCCCTTGTTAGACTAGTTAAGAGTATTGAACTTTTTTCTAACAGGTACTTGGTTACATGCAGGTTACATTGATTCTTTCAAAATATGCAGGGCTTTTTGTTTGTTTGCTTGCTTGATTTTATTTTTGTTTGATTTTGTGAGATAGGCTGTCATTATGGAATCCAAGCCAGCCTGTTATCCAGGCTGACCTTGGATTTGCAATCTTCCTGCCTCAGACTTCTGAGAATTGGAATTACAGGTGTGGACCACCACACGCAGCTCAAAATGTCTTTAAGCTGTTTGACAGTCTTCAAAAAAGTCTGGGGTCTCTACTGGATACTGTGCATATTCAACAAGGACTTTTCATGCTAGCTAATCAGATTTCAAATGTTTCCATCCCTGGATGGCTGTTGGAATTGTTCAATTTATGGTTTTCTAGGTGTCTCATGACAAGCCTCACAGTCCTCTACCCTGTGCATAGGTAATTTAGTATTCTGTGGCAATCTCCAGCTTTCTGGAGTACTTCTCCCCTCAGGAGGCTCTCTAAGACCGCTATGCACATTTTACCTGCTTTGTTCTTCTTGAGTTCCTGTCTCTGCTCAGGCCAGTGAGGCTGCCATGCTCAGCCTGCATTTACCCTCATGACCAGCTGAAGTAGTCATACACAAAGTAGTTTCATATTAGAAAATCTAGGGCTGGGGAGATAGCTCAGCAGTCTAAGCACCTGCCTGGCAAGCGCAAGGACCTGGGTTTGATCCCTGGCACCACATGCTGTGCTGCCAAGCTGGCAGGTGAAAGTGGGAATAGTGGCGCATGCCTGTAATTCCATTGCTGGGGAAGTGGAAGACAGGAAGATCACTACAAGTCCAAGCTGCATAGTGAGACCCTGTACCAAATACATCAAAAGAAAAAAAGAAACATTAACAAGTATATATATATTTTCTAAAATTTAATAATAATTATAACAGTTTAATAAACAAAGTAGAAATCAAAAGGGACTTCTTTAATTTAATAATAAAAAAAGTACCTAGCAAACTTAAAAAATAATGACAAAATATAAAAAAGCAGTCCCACAAAAATCAGGAACAGGACAAGAATATCAGCTTTCACTGCTCCTATTAAGCATTACCGAGGGTCTTCCAGCCAGTATAATAATATACCAAGAAAGCTGGGTGCTCACCTTAGCAACACGTATGCTAAAATTGGAATAACACAGAGAAGATTAACATGGCCCCTGCGCAAGGATGACATGCAAATTTGTGAGGCATTCCATACTAAAAAAATAAAAAAAAGGAAGGAAGGAAGGAAGAAAAAAAGCTGGGCATGGTAGTCCATGCCTAAAATACTAGCACTCAGGAGACTGAGGCAGAAAGATTATTGTGAGTTCAAAGCCAGCCTAAACTACAAAGTGAGACCCTATCTCAAAACAACAAAAACAACAAACCAAAGCCAAAGCAAATACTACAATAAGACAAATTATAAAGAGAAGATTGAAAAGGAAAAAGCAAAATGGTTAGTTACTCATTTACAAATTAAGCACCTACAATGCATGAGTTTCTTTTTGGGAATAAAAAGACAAAATCTCTGCCCCAACAGAGCTTGCATTCAAGTCATAGGTAGGAAAGGAATAGTTAATAAATAAAATGAGAGAGAAAAGAAAAAAGTGTAGACTTGTCAAAAGTGATCAGTGCTGTGGAAAAAGACAAAGCTAGAAGTAGGATAGTAATGCAGCCTCAGGAAACACCATTTCCAGTTCATGGGAATGGCAGCCCTGAAATTGCAAATGAGGACTCTCTGGCTGAGGCATTAGAAGATTGTTTCCATTTCAAATAGGGCAACCCAAGTAGGTCTCACTAGAAGGAAACATTTGGGCAAAGATTTGGAGGAAATGATAGTGTGACCCATGTGAGAAGAAAATCTAAGCAGAGTAGTCAGGGCCAGAGTTTGGTGTTTTTTGTTTTGTTTTTTTTTTTTTGGGGGGGGGAAGGGAGTTTTCTCCCCTCATACTGGGATTCTAATCCAGGAACCTTATGTTACTGAGCTACATCCTCAGCCCTTTTTCAAATTTGCCCAGGTAGGACTTGAAAATGATCCTCCTGCTTCAGTTTCTCTAAATGCTGGGATTGCAGGTGTGTACCACTATGCCCAGCTAAGAGACAACCTTCTATGTCCCAGGACTGGCAAGAGGCCCAGTATAATGCTGTGTAAGCCATGTAGGGAGAACAGAAGATAAATTCATTGAGGCCACAGGAGTCATAAGCCACCATAGCACTTGGGGTTTTACTCTGAGAAGAATGGAGATCCGGAGTATTCTGAGCACAGGGTTTATGTGATTTGTCTTAATTTTTTTTTTTAATAGCTCTACTTCCTGGGTTGAGATAGACTATAAAAGCCTGAGACAAAAGCATGGAAATCAGTTCAGAAAGCTTTAATAGCCTAGGTGAGAAATGTGACAGGCTGGTCTAGCATAGCGAGCTAGAGGTAATTAAAACTTGTCAGGTTATGTACATAGTCTCAGGATTGAGCCAACAAGGCTTGCTGACAGAACTGGTAAAGAATGAACAGTCAACTCCTGGGTTGTTGGCCTGACACTTGGGAGAATGGAAGGCTGGAAGAGCTCCACAGACCACGGTCTGCGTAGGCAAGGAAGCAGGACCCACAAGAAGTCTTATATACTGCTGGTAGAGAAATGAATTATATAGACCTTCTAGAAAATGATTTTGCATTATCTAGAAAAGGTTTTCTTGTTTTTGTTTTTGTTTTTTTTTTTGCAGAACCGGGGATTGAACTCAAGCCCTTGCGCTTAGCAGGGAAGAGCTTATTCCACTGAGCCATCTCCCCAGCCCCAGAAATAAATCAGACACATGGGTTTGAGAAGTTTTTTGTTTCGGTTTTGGTTTTGGTTTTTTTATGGCTGGCTCAGGCAGCCTTAAGGGCGGATCTGGTAAGGCATGTGGAGCTGGGGCTTGAACCGTGGTCCTCTGCGCCTCACTGGGTTTGCAGAAGCAGGCGCTTAAACAACTGAGCTAACCAAGCAAGGCCTAGAAAAGTTGAGGATGCATATATTCTACAACTGAACAATTCCATTTCAAAAAGTACATGTTTGAAAACCCCTCACCAATGCGCATCAAGAAATAAGAACAAAAATAATTGGGGGCTTATGGGTTAGCTCAGCTGTTTAAGCGCCTGCTGGGCAAACCTAGTCAGGCGCAGGGGACCACAGTTCAATCCCCAGCTCCCTAGCTCTGTGCCTAGCCAGACCTGCCCTTAAGGCAGCCTGAGCCAGCCAAAAAAAGAAAAAAGAAAAAGAAAAGAAATCTGCCAAAATGAAATCTATGAATGTGCATCACTGATATGCATCCACTAATCAATGTGAAAATAATTTGAGCCGGGGAGATGGCTCAGTGGAATAAGCGCTTCGCTGGCAAGTGCAAGGGCCTGAGTTCAATCCCCGGTTCCGCAAAAAAAAAAAAAAAAAAAAAAGGAAAAATAATTAAAAGTGTTGTTTATAGCAAAAAAAAAATTAGAAATATTCTGAATGTACATTGTTGGAAAAATTAATGCATAATAAAATGTGGTATATTCATAGGACAAAAGGCTACATAGCAGTAAAAATGAAATACAATTATACCTATTTTCAGATAAAAATCTTATGAACATGGACAACATGGACACAGTCCTTTTTTTTTTTTTTTTTCAATACTGAGGATTGAACCCAGGATCTTCACACTAAACTACATTATTAGCCATTTAGAAATGTTTTTATTTGAAGAGAGTCTCTCTAAGTCACTAGATTGTCAAGCCTTAGCTCAAACTTGCAGTCCTCCTGCCTCAGCCTCCCACAGTGCTGGGGTTACAGGTGTGAGCCATCATGCCTGGCTAAACACAATCTTGACAGAAAAAGTAAAAGTTTGATGACCATTTATATGACATTCAAAAGCAGGCAAATTTAATAGTATATGGCTTAGCATATTATATATACTATAAGACTATAAAGAAAACAAAGAATAATAAACACATAATTTGGCATAAGGATATTCAAAGAGGTTGTCCATAAAGAAGAGCATCTATAGACTAAGTGCCTGCTTAGGCAAACACAGGGACCAGGGTTTGATCCCCAGCACCACAGGCCGCGCTGGCCCCACCCCTGGGTGGCTGAGCTGGCCACTGAGTGTGGTGGTGCACTCTTGTAATCCCAGTGCTGGGTTGACTGAAAACAGGAGGATCACTATGAGTCCAAGCTACACAGTGAGACACTCTACCAAATACATAAAAAAAGAGAGAGAAAGAGCATCTAGGAAGCCTCAAAGATGTTGAAAATACTTTACTTACTGAGGGGTAATTGTGGATGTTCTTTTTTTTCCTTAAGTCTATCTCTGTCTCTTCCTGTCTGTTGTTTCTTTTCTCTGTCTCTTTCTCTCTTTCTACACACAAACACACACATCCAGAAAAGGAAGAAAGGTTTATATATTATACATACACATGTAATTAAAAAATTGGAAAAAGGAGGAAAAGTGAATGTTAGGAGTCACAAGTTGGTCCCTTTAATTTTACAAATGAGAAAATAGGTCCAGGGGTAGCAACCTACACAATCACAAAGCTATATCCAGTAGCACCTGATTTCAGTGCCTCAATTCATTTGATCCTACCACTGTTAACTTGGAAAAATAAAATAAATTAGGGTTGGGGATATTTCTCAGCAGCACAGCATCTGCCCTGTAAGCACAAGGTTATGAGTTTGATTCTTGGTACCAAAAAAATAAAATAGTGGCAACTAGGCCATAGAGCTTGGGGAAAAAGTAGAAGGTAGACAGGTCCCTTACATTTTTCATCCTGGGTATCTGAGAAATGAAATCCATTTTTACAGGTCTGAGCTAGACTCCTCTTCCCAGCACAGCTTTTGTTTTGAGGCTTTCCCTCACCAACACTGCTGTGAGACACATCCCTGAGCTTCAGTAAGAAGCCTTGGAAATCAGATGCACAATGACAACACCGTGATGGAAATCGAGCAAGTGAGTCCTTGTCCTGTCCTCTATTTATACTCCCTGGACATCTTGGGGGAGCCATATCACTGCACTCAGAGATGGGAACAACAACACTGAACCTGTCTGCCACTCACTGTAGCATGAAAACAACCCAGAGGTGCTAGAAAAAGCACTTGAGAATTATGCAGCCTGTTATTAAGCTGTGTTCAGCCCAACACAAGCCACATAGAATTTGGAAAATACTCTCAGTGTTGGTTTATGTAAAGAGAACTCTATCCTGATTACTTCCACTGTGCCCATGAAAGTGAGCCGCTCTGAACTTCTAAATGCCCTCCCTCTCAAGTTGTATCCTGCAGCGATCCGCTGGCCATATCCCATCACTCCCCAGGGCAGCAGCCTCTTGATTTGTATTGATCCAAAGCATGTGCGAGGCACTGGACTCTGTCCTTAGCACTATGAAAAAAAAGAAAAGCAAAAAAGCAGTTGATGACTGGGACACTTCAGACTGCTTACTTGCATGGACAGCCTGTGCGGCACACATTTTGAAACTGCTAGTAAAACTGAGAAAGCAATAATTAGCATGGGGTTTCCTTGATAAAAACATATTTAAATTTGGACTTTCACCTCTTAATTTTCAATACTACTTTGACAGTATTTTATCTTAAGACATCACTCGTAGTCATCAAATAACCACAACATACACAGCATATTTTTAACTGTGTTTCTGATTGTGGCATTTGGTGTCAGAAGTCCAATAATTAACAGATCAACACAGTTTGTCTCTCAGAATTATCCAAGTACTTTATTGAGTACTGCCATGATCTGAACTGTTTGCAACTGCCCCCGCCCCCAATCCTTATGTTGAAATCCTAACAGAGAAAAGTTATTAATTAGGAGGTAGGGAGATTGTTGTGTCCTGAAGGAGTTGAGCCCCTTCCTCCATGTGAAGGCACTGCAAAAAAGAGCCATCTAAGAACCTGGAGGTGACTTCTCACCAGTCACTACATCTGTCACCACCTTGATCTTGGACTTCCTTGTCTCCAAAACTGAGGAATAAATATCTGTTGTTTATAAACTATTCGGTCTATGATATTTATTTATTTATTTATTTATTTATTTATTTATTTATTGTATTTTAGGACAGGGTCTGCAGGGTCAGTCTCACTGAGTAGATCAGACTCATAGTGATCCTCCTGTTTACAGCCTCCCAAATTCTAGGACTACAAGTGCGTGCCACCGTGCCCAATCTCAATCTCCCTCTCAGTATGCCCCTGGGGGCAGGGCCAGCACAGCA